TAAGGGTAACATGGCAAATTTAAACCAATCAGTTTCACTACCCTACATTTTCCACTACCCCACGTTTCTAAACTGCACAGCAGTTCCAAATCAGGTGACACCAGTTCCAAATCAGGTTCAACATCTTCCAAAAAGTGCCGAACATCTTCGTTGCATTTTCCATTTGTTTTGATTTCATTCAAAAGTTCTGTCCATCTTCACTGTATTTGGTAAGTTCTTTTCTGAAAGTTATCTGTATTTGGTAAGTTCTCTTTTGTATTTGGTTCTATCCGATTTCAATTTCACATGTTATGTTATGTTATGTGTAAGTATTCTAGACAAAGCATCAAAACTAAAGTGTTGAATTTAAAAATAGAATTAGAGTGGTGCCATATTAATATGGACATTTAAAAAGAAAAAACTTGACGAAGGATCAAAACTAAGTGTTGTATATCAAACAGTAACATATATGGAAGGAGATCGCTCACTGGGATGACTTTCCAGTAGCCCAATCAACCCAAGAATCGGCCTTATCCTCCTCTGCATCTTCTGTGAATTTCATGCTCTCTGCAGTGTTTCTCTCCCCAACACCAGCACAACTCCACCAACACCGCTGCTGTCGCCGCCGCAACAACAACAATAACCACCCACATTATCAACCTCTCCAGAACAGAATGATTATGTAATTTTGTTTTTGATGCTATACATAGGAACGGTTTCTTGAAGTTGTAGTGTGTGTGTCATCTTCCCTTTTTTATTTGGTTAGTTCTGAGCATCTTTACTATTTTGCATGTATTTTGCATTTGTTTCTATATGATTATTGGTTTTAATAATAGAATAGATAGATGGGTGTGCTTTATATTTTCTGTACTCAAAAGTTCTGTCCAATTTCTATATGATTAAGTGGTGAGTACTTATTCCAATTCCTTTTTTTTAAAAGCTTTTGGTAATTGTGTGTTTGTGTGTAGATTCTGCAACAAGGATGAGGTCGGAAAAATAGTAGCCATAATAGTAGGCGTCTTGGCCGGTCTCGCCGTTTTGATCGTTCTTCTCTCAGTTTGTCACAAAGCACTTGGTATGATCTCCCTCCATTTTTATCATTTCTGATAACACAAAAGACAAAAAATGAAATTGGGTTGAGCTCCTCATTTTACTATCCAGATTGAATGATACAAATATTTTATTCTGTAAAATCTACTGAAAATAGTATCCAATGAAATAGTTTATTAAGTTTATTGAACAATGAAATTCATATAATTGGATTACATTTATCTTATAAAATAAATAAATAAATTACCTATATTAAAAATTATATTATCCGTTCAATTTTCTAAGATAAATTTGATCAAATTAATCAAAAATTTTGTACAAACTATTTTGTGGATAAACCCTACAAATGAATGGTTGTTTCAAGCACTAGGTGAGCCTCATAGTGGGCATGTTAATTAAGTAAACCAACCTCCTGCCCATGCTTGGAAAAATTGTGATTTTTTTTTAAAAAAAATTTAAAGGTATTGTTTGAGTAGTATAAAATGTGATTGTTATAATAGGGACCAAATTGACATATCGTGCAAACATCAGAGACTATTTATATAATTTATCTTCAATTATTTTTTATTTTTTATTTGGACCAGAAACTGATAGTTTTTTATTTTATTTTTTTATAAATAGCTGTTGGAGTCAATTTATATGGTGAAGTTAACTACTAGGCAAATCATAATGAGTCTTCAAAGAGTAAGATGAATAAATCTGTTTAATAATTCTTTGGCTATTTAATTCTGTAATTTTGAGTTTTCTTTATGTACATCAAATCTGTTTCAATGTTACTATTTATTTTTCATTATGAGTATTCTAAGTCTCTTAGGTTTCTACTTTTCTATTTTGTGTGCTTTTATATATACTTGTGCTTAAATAGTTTTGGAGTTTGTCCTGTTTGGTATGTTTCTATTTGGTATTTTTTTCACTTACTTTTTATTTTATTTTTGTTTCTCTTATTCAATTTTTTGGTTTGGCATAGGTGTAGAGATCTGTCACGATCCAAGAGGATATGTTAATTAAGTAAACCAACTTTCCTACCCATGTTTTGTTTTTTTTTTTAAGGTATTATTTGAGTAGTGAAAATTGCAATTGTTAATTGACATATGGTGGGTAGGCTTACCAACCATAAAATCCATAATTCAATTTTTAAAAACTTTAGGACTTTTTGGGGCTTTTTCCCATAATTCAGGGTGAAGATATGTATTTTTGTATTTTTTATTTTTTGTAATACTGCTAATTATACTTTCTGTAATACTAAATATTCTAACTAAATCAAACATTATTTTGTGTTGTATTTTTTGGTGTAATAATGTAAATTTTTTTGCAGGTTGCTTTATGACTTTATGTTGTTCAGAAGAAACAACTTCTCGGGTAATTCTTTATCGTCACTTATCTACTTTGACTGTAAGTATTCTAGACTTATTGATGGATTATTGTAGAGTTTTTTTTTTTCCGCCAATTTAGAGTTGAGTATGCTTTATTTTCGCCCAAAGTTTCTCTCTCAAATTTTCTTTTTATTTAATTTTTTTAAATTATGATATATCAGTTGTGATGAATCAATTCCTCATTGTTTTGTCCAATTCTCTCTCTCAATTTATATATATATATATATATATATATATATTCACAAAAACACACACACACAAATTTAAGAATAAAGAAAAACCCAAATAAGAAATCCAAATAAAAATAATAGAACAGACAATAGATAGACAAGGAGGACACCAAAAGTTATTAAAATTAAAAATAGATATATATTTTTTTCATGATCTTTCTCACAACATTATTTGAATTGTTCTTAAAAAAAATTAGAAAACAAAACTTACAAATATACTTGAAGAAAAATTACAATTATTTTAATATTATAATTTTTTTTTTAGTTGCATAAATATGTGCAACATTGTTACAAGGTAATTTATTTATAGGTTTGTATATATAACAAAAGTTACGTGCTTCATTTTTTGTCAATTCCATCTTATTTTTTGTAGTTTAATGTTGTCATATATGTATGTTCAAAATTGCATCAAAACAATTTGAAGAGATTGTTGAACGTGACATTTGATTGTGAGTATTTTTATTTTTATTTTTATTTTATATTTAATTGAATGTTTGAAAAAATTATATTCAATTTGTTTTTAAATTATATTTCAAGTTGCACACGCTTTGGCTCATCATTACCAGGTAATCTCTTTCACTTGCTATTTTATTTAATTCTCCACAAAATGAGATTAGTACTTAAAATAATATGCATTATAAAAATATAAAAACAAACATATGAAAACACTTACATAAAGATATAAAGCTTTGTGAGTATACAAGTGACATTGCAGTTAACATTCTCATAATATATTATTACTGCCTTTTACATAATTACATATTACATATAAATAACTAAAAAATATGAAATTAGTATCTAATGTATAATATAGGCACATTTTAAAAATAACTAGATTTCATCTACGTAACACATATTACTAAAAATAAACAGTTAAAAAAACTTACATAAAAATACAATGCTTAGGATATATTATTATTGTCTTTTACATAATTTTATATAATGTAGGCCCATTTTAAAAATAACCAGATTTCATCCACGTAAGTGTTAGTTTGCTAACAATCTTAGGAAAAATGAATCATGATTACCCTAACACATCAAATTTGAGACATGTACAACAACAAAATTGTGAACGACGTCGTTTATACCTACAACAAAGGAGGCAACGCTCAGCTTCGGAATCAAATGCTCAAACTGAACAACCACAAAGAGAATTCGAACAGTTCTGCCTTCAAAACTTGAGCGTTGAACAACGCTCAGTAAGATTGGAGCAACGTCATCTTGCTTAGCGTAGGCGAAGCTTGTTCATTCGCGAACAAAGAGCGAGTTCTAATGTGCAACAAAGAGAAATTCAAAGGGAAAGCTTGCGTAATTATGCCAGACAGAGGAGGGCTGCTTTGACTACTGAACAGCACAAATAACAACTAGCAAGGCGACAAACAAATTATCGACAAAGAAGGCAAATATCTGAAAATCTCGAACAAACTTCTCATCCAGATCAAGCACATAATATGACAAATAAAAAAACAAGTAGTAAGTATTCAAATTTTATAAATGTTTTTTTTTTTTTAAAAGCTTTTACATTTCTAAATTTGACATTGATATTCATTTAATTTATTATGTACAATTTTAATTGTTAGGATGCATGTTAAACTTTTTCGATGCAATCCCAAGAAGAAATAGAACAGGATGGCGCAGGCCGAGAGCAACAGTTTTTCCAACCATTCACGAAGAAGGGGATTTAGTTGTGACTAATGTTTTTAGTCGGGAAAGTAGAATGACTCTACACTCACGTATCGACTTATTCCAATATGCACCTACTCATTCGACTTATGAGCATGGAAGCACAAGTGGCAACAGACAAGATAATCCTCACGAAGTTCAGATGGAAGGTAAAAAAAAAATTATTTAGTTTAAGTACTTTTACAAAACAAACAATCTTTACAATAAATGTAAAAAAGATGGCCATGCAAATATGATATGTAGTACAATTACAATTAATATTGAACATGCAACTCAAACACTTTCAAATAAATACTATTGTGTTAATAATAAACCTATACATCGTACATGTATTGTCATAGGAAATATCCCTCATGTCGACCACAATCAAGATGCTTTGAGTGATGAAGATATTGTAGATAATCGATCATTTATCCATAGGAGATATCACAATTGTGCAAGAAATTTTCATGAAAGTGAAAGGTTCCAAAGAATGCAGTTTCATGCTCCAACTACATGTAGACATTACAACGCAAGATTGTTTCACCGTGAAACGTCTACCATGTGTTGTAATAATGGAACCATTGTTTTGCCACCAGTAACAGCTCCAAATGAGATGATTGATATTTTCTCTGACCAAACAGTGGAAGGTCGTCATTTCAGACAAAATATTCGATCCTATAATCATGTTTTCTAATTCACTTCAATGGGTGTTCATGTTAATGAAAACTTAGCAACAAGAACTCGAGGTGTGTACACGTTTCGTGCACAAGGATCCATATATCATAAGATTGGGAATCTTTTACCAAATTCTAGCGACAGACCGAGATATTTGCAACTGTATGTTTATGACACTGACCATGAGAATAAGAATCGAATATCTGAAAATGAAGAATTACACTTAGATTTGCTTGACAAGATAAAGAGTATTTTAAATGCTCAAAATCCATTTGTACACACGTTTCTCCAGTTAGCTCAGCGTCCAGATATACATGAATGCAGACTTCAGATCAAAGAGCAACCATGTAATAGGCCCCAATACAACCTTCCGACTGCTCCTGAAGTTGTTGCAGTTTTAGTAGGTGGCAAAGAAGCTGGAAATTTAAGACCAAGAGATATCATTGTCCAATCAACCAGTGGTCACCTTCTAAATATTCCTAATATTGTCGGATATTATGATCCATTATAGTATCCTTTGTTGTTACCTTGTGGTTCATATGGATGGGATGCAAATAGCAGAAGTAATGATGGTAGAAAAATAACATGCTGTGATTTCTATTCTTATATGCTACAGGTACAACGTACACATAATATCAAAAAATTACTTCCTCGAAGTTATTTAATCTATAATTATTTCGTATAAAACCTTTACTTTTAATTATTTATAAGTATTCAAATACTATCAATTCAGATTCGCCCGGGGGATCAATCACTTTTCGTTCGAGGAGGTCGCCTCTTACAGCAGTATGTTGTAGATAATTACGTGAAGATTGAGTCCAACAAATTAAGATGGATACGTACTCATCAGAATCACATTCGAACAGATTTTTATCAAGGTCTTCTAGATGCAGTACATGCTGGTGAAAATTATGGAGGTACAAATTGTCACTACAACTAAATGTATGCACGTTCGTATATATTCATACATATAATTTTTTTTTTGTGAAATCCAAATATGTTTAGGTAATGTTGGTCATAGAACAATATTACCGTCGTCATTTGTTGGTAGCCCACGAGATATGTATCAGCGATATCAAGATGCAATGGCTCTGGTCCAAAAGTATAGAAAACCCAATTTTTTCCTTACAATGACTTGCAATCCAAATTAGCCTGAAATTAAAGCTGAGTTACTACCTGGACAGTCAGCACATGATCGCCCTGATTTGCTGACAATAGTATTTCATTCAAAATTTGATGAGATGAAGACCGACATTCGTACAAAACATGTACTCAGGAAGGTTCTAGCATATGCATATGTTATTGAGTATCAAAAAAGAGGCTTACCACATGCCCACATGGTCATTATTTTGGATGAAAATGATAAGTTACGCACTCCTGACGATTATGATAACATTGTCAGAGCTGAAATTCCAGACAAGAGACTAGAGCCTAGATTATACAGTGCAGTTCTGAAACACATGGTACATGGCCCATGCGGAATGTACAATGAACAGTCACCGTGTATGACAAATGGTCGGTGCAAAAGACATTTCCCAAAGCCATTTTCTCCAATCACTACACTTAGAAACGATTCATATCCTGTTTATCGAAGAAGAGAAGGGGAGTCAGCTCCATTAGAGAGTAATCCAAGCATCTTGGTGGATAATAGTTGGGTCATTCCATACAACCCATGGTTGCTTTTGGAATATGATTGTCATATCAATCTTGAAATTTGCAGCAGTGTTACATGTGTGAAGTATTTATACAAATATGTTTATAAAGGGCTTGACCGTGTTACATTAAAAGTTCGTCAAGGTCCTAATTATGACGAAGTACAACAGTTCATAAATGGAAGATAGGTTTGTGCTCCAGAAGCATTGTGGAAAATATTCAAATTTCCAATTATCAGAATGACCCCTAGCGTAGAACGCCTCCAAATACACTTACCAAATAAGCAGCAAGTGCGGTTTTATACATTCCAAGACATCACAAATGTTTTAGGAGATGAGTATTATTCTAGAACAATGCTTACCCAATTCTTTCAATTAAATGTTGATGACGAAACTGCAAATCAGTACTTATATTGAGAGATCCTTCAACACTATAGATGGTGCAATAACGCAAAGATTTGGCAGTTGAGATTGAATCCTCAAAGAGTAATTGGTAGAATTTACACAGTTTCACCATCAAAAGGGGAGAGATTTTACTTAAGAATTTTACTCAATCATATCAGAGGACCAAAATCATTCGACCATTTGTTAATGGTTAATGGAATTGCGTACCGAACTTTTAAACAAGCAGCTGAACATCATGGTTTGTTAGTGCATGATGATAGCATACGACAATGTTTGTTAGAAGCTACAACCATGCACATGCCATCAACATTAAGGAGATTGTTCGTTACAATTTTGGTTTACTGTGTGCCAACAGGGGTGCGAAGTTTGTAGGATGAAATTTATCCTTACTTAATTGAAGATTACATATCTTCAAACAGTATGAATAATATGTATATCCTTAACAAAACCTTGCATGATATAAACCGTCTCCTGCTACAGCATAATAAGAACATATCATAATACAATTTGCTTGAGATGACAATGAATTTGGATGATAATTCAACAGTTCCAAAGGTCATACAAGATGAGCTTCCCATTGTAACTCCTCGAGAAGACTTAAATTCCATTGCCACATTAAATAATGATTAATGCTTAGCATTTAACTCAATCATGGAGGCTGTGGAATGCAATACTGGTGCAATCTTCTTTGTGGATGGCCCAAGAGGAACTAGAAAGACATATTTATATCGTGCACTGTTGGCCTCAGTGAGAAGTTAAGGTCGAATTTCCATTGCAACAACAACTTCTGGAATTACAACTACACTTTTACCTGGTAGAAGGACAGCCCATTCAAGATTCAAGATCGATCCAGAGGCTTCATCTGTGTGCTCCATTACTAAACAATCAGATTTGGCAGAATTGATTAAACGTGCAACAATCATCATTTGGGATGAAGCTACAATGACGAATCGTTATGCTTTTGAAGCTTTGAATCGAACACTCATAGACATCACTGGTGTTGATTATCCATTTGGTGGCAAAATTATGGTGTTTGGTGGTGACTTTCGGCAAGTACTTCCAGTTGTTCCTAAAGGTACAAAAGCTGAAACTATTGTTGCATCGATAGTCAAATCATCTCTCTGGAGTCATATTCAAAAACTTCGTTTAAAGCAAAATATGCGATCTATAAATGATCAACAGTTTGGTGAATTTCTTTTACGTGTTGGAGATGGTGTACAACCTACCATTGCAGATGAAATGATCAAAGTACCAACATTGATGGCAATACCATGGCATGGCGAAGAATCAATAGTTCAACTATTACAAGAAATTTATCTTGATATCAGAAACCATTCCTTTGATGCCGGGTATATGGTTAGTAGGGGCATAATAACTCCTCGCAATGAAGATGTCGACAAGCTCAATGAGAAAATCATTCAAACATTTCTAGGAGAATCAAGAGTGTACCACTCATTTGATAAAGTTGAAAATGATACCCAAAATTTGTATCAACAAGAGTTTTAAATTCCATTTCACCAGGAAAAATGCCTCCACATGCATTGCATTGGAAAGTTGGAGCCCCAATTATGCTTTTGAGGAATCTTGACCCTTCTTCTGGTTTGTGCAATGGCACAAGGCTACTGTGTCGAGCTTTGAACAATAATTTCATAGATTCAGAAATTTTAATAGGACATTTCAAAGGCACGAGAGTTTTCCTGCATTGCATTCCATTAAAGGCTCCAGAAAACTTAAAACTTCCATTTGAAATGACTCGCACACAATTTTCAGTTCGCCTTAGTTTTGCTTTGACAATAAATAAATCACAAGGTCAAACAATTCCACATGTGGGAATTTACCTTCCGGATCATGCATTTAGTCATGGACAACTATATGTTGCTTTATCTCGAGGGGTGTCAGATCAGACAATGAAAGTCTTGGTTAAAAAGAGTTCAGTTAATAATGAAGAAGGAGTGCATACCCACAACGTAGTCTACAAAGATGTTTTGTTACCAAATTATTGATACAGGAGGTATGGACTAAATATGTTCTTATTTAGCTTATATTGTAACAACCCCCATACTGTTTACTGATTAATGACTGACCGATTACTGTTAAACGAAACGGATAATGACTGATAATTGAACTGATTAAAAGTACTGAACTGACTGACTGAAATTGGAAACCGATTGATGTTCCATGATCCTCAGAATTAATGTGATTTTATGGTATATTTATCTGAAAATTGATTAGGTATGATTAAATTAGATTAAAGGTGCTAAACCCATAGAGCCGGGTTTGGGTCGTGACATATATTATGTCATTTTTTTAATCAATAATTAATGTACTTATAATATATCTTCATATAATTATTAATTGCAGGAATACTTGAAAAAATAAAACTACTTCAACTTTGGGAGAATTATCAAGAGGAGGCAAATATGGTTGCAGATACGAAATTTACAAATCAGGTATTGGCTTTACTTATGTTCAAAAAATTATGTTTGTAAAATTTTTGCTATTTATAAAAAACAACATTCGCATATATTTTGAGTTTGACTGTACCTTTTAAATTAATGTAGGTCAAACAGTTCTCCATATACAGTCTTGGATGGAAGGTCTCTATTAAAGTTGATAAAAAATAACTGGGAAAATTAATTGTGCGAGAGCTTTTTAGGCAATGACAACATCGGTATGATAATGTGTTTGCTACATTTTATATGAATCATTTCAATATGTTACATTGCTAATAGTTATCGTTCTTTTTTTTTTTTATAGAAATCCTATCATATCTGATAGAGCAAGTATATGCAGCAAAGACAATATGGACATATATGTGGTAAAAATCAAGTCTTATGAAGTTTACTACTATGTTCCATATATCCATATTTGTAAATTTACAATTTAATTTTATATTTCATAAATTTGTCAAACAATCAACTTATAAGGAAGTGAGATATTTTGCCTCAGTTTTATAGGCAACGAATGATTCAAAAATTGAAAGTTTACAAAGATATGTGCAACGTTGTTACAAGGTAATCTACTTATAGGTTTGTATGTATAATAACAAAAGTTACGTATTTCATTTTTTTGTCAATTTCATCTTATTTTTTATAGTTTAATGTTGTCATAGATCTATAGCAAAAATTGCATCAAGACAATTTGAAGAGATTGTTGAACGTGACGTGTGATTTGGACTATGTCAATCTATGTTAAAATGTAAGTTTTTAATTTTGTTTATAAAAAATTAACACAATAATTACCTTTGTGTCTTTATACATAATAAGTCAACGGCAGTGCTACGTAGCTCGAAAGCTACCCCCTGAATCCCCCTAAACCCTAAACGACGCCATTTTTGTTTTGTTTTGTTTTGTTTTGTTTTTTTTTTTGCAGAAGAAGGAGGAAGATCAGAGAAGAAGAAGGAGGAAGATCAAAGAAGAAGAAAAGGAAGAAAGGAGGAAGAGGATGAGGAAGGAGGGAGGAGGAGGAGGATGAGGGACTGGAGGGGGCATAATATTCGGGAGAGGAGGAGGAGGCGGAGGAGGAGGCGGGGGGCGGGGGGCGGAGGCGACGAGCTGACGATCGGCGGAGGCGACGAGCTGCTGCTGCGACGATCGGCGGCGGCGGAGGCAGAGGCACACGCGACGATCAGCGGCGAGCTTTCTCCCTCTCTCCTCCTCTTCCGCTCTCTTCTCTTTCTCTCTTCTCTTTCTCTCCCTCTGTAGACTTGAAAATGGAAGGAAAAAGACTCAAAAATGGAAGGAAAAAAAAAAAGGCTAATGCCCAAAACGACGTCGTTTTGGGCATTAGGGGGATTCGGGGGGCAAACTCTCGAGCTACCAAACATTATTCATAAGTCAATTAGAAAACGAAAGTAATTATTGTACTCTATTAGCTAAAGAACACATGTATAATTATGGCTCACTTTAAGAACGTAAAATTTTAATTTAATCAATGCATATTATTAGCAAAGTAATTTTTACATATATCTTATATATTTTTTTACAGGATTTGCAGGATCTCCAGTCTCATGTTACCAAATTCAGATTTTATATGAATTTTTGTTGTACAGATTTTTTAGTTAACATTAGTAAATATTGTATTTTTTTAAAAATTTGTACATCTTTTAATGTACGTGTATTTTATTTATCAAATACGTTAATATCAAATATTACATTGTACATAGTTACTTATTTTATTTATATTTATATTATTAAAAAAAATAATATGAAATTCATATTATAATTTAAAAAGAAATTACACACGCATCGCGTGTGTCCGGTCGCTAGTAGTTTACTTACATTTTAAATATGATAATAGAGAACTTATCGTGGTTAATCATTTCATTAGTCGTGGTTAATCATTTCATTAGATATGGTTGATTATTTCTCTCAATATAATAATCATGACTACGCTTGCTCACCAAATTATTCATTTTTTTTTCTTTCACATCAGTTATCAAGTTGCATAGTTTTCTTTTTTCTTTTTTCTTTTTTTTTTTTCCTTTTTTATAAGTTGTCCTTTTCTTTTCATCAAGTTCGCTTTCTACTGATTCCATATTTCATCAATACTTTAGTTTGTGTTTGTTTTATTGGAATAGAAATGAAATAGTTGTTTTATAAGTTTTTAATAGAATGATTATTCTTTTATCGTGATAAATAATAATTTCTTTTGTAATATATTTATTATTATTATTATTATTATTTAGTGAACCAAAAGTGAGAGCAAATTCAAATTCTATCAATTTTGATTACATTGACCAAATAAAAACGATTGATAATTCAAATGCTATAATTTTTATAGGTGGTTTGGGGACATGGGAAAGAAAATAGGATGAGATGAAAAAAAAAAAAAAATAGTGCAACTATCTAGTTTTTTAGGGGATGATGTATAAATTTAAAAACTCAATTATAAATTTATGACTTTAAAATCTAGCACCATGTTTTTATTATGTCATAATTTGACATTAATGATACAATAAACGCTATTAAAAAATATATTTTTATTGTATTAAATTTTAAAAATAACACAATGAATAACACATTACTAAAATTAACAAACAAGATGAGTAAACAGACGCACACGCAAAAGTAGGATTCAACACATCATGATGATCATAATGGGCTATGATTATAAGGAAAATTTTACTATACACTTTTTTAAAAGAGGTATATCATATATATTTTTAATTATGTCAATTTTTGTTTAGTTAATTAATTTTCTTCTTTAGTCATAACAATATTTTAGTTATGATTTATGAGATATTTGGTTATATCTTAGTGGTATGATTTTTTTTATTTATGACTCAAAAAGTATAGAATTATGTCATTTTTTTCTTTAATTATAAGATACATATAATATGGACCATTTGAAGAATGTGTACGTATTTACTTATTTTAAAGATGGGTTTAGAAAGTGGTTTTTTTAGAATTTTTTATTAAAATATGAAATAAAAAATTAAAATTTTTAGAAATAATTTTTTAATTTCTTAAAAAAATGTGAAAAAATAAAAAGTATTTAATTTTTTGACTTTCTAAATTTTTAGTTATATTAACATATCCCCCCCCAAAAAAAAAAAACCCCATGGCCATTCTCTTGGTTTTGACCAACCACTTAATCATTATAAATTGAAATTAAATTGGTATGTTAATTAATATATTAATGCATATTATGATATTATTATTGGGAGATGCACCAATAAATCCCAAATTAATAACTTATGCACTGTTTAGTCCTAAAAGTTTTCTTATAGACTGAAAGGTCCCATTACAATGTTAATAACATCAGATACAATGTTAATAACATCAAAGTCATGTTACAAATATTGGATTTCAAACATCTAATGTTCATCAAATTTCAATAATGTTTGAAAATATAGGATGAAAAACATCTAATGTTCATCAGATTTTAATAAATTTTGAAATTATAGAATGAAACATCAGATCATTTACATCATTCACATCATGTTGATGTAAAAATGGGACTAAATGGAGCATAAGAAAACTTTTAGGACTAAATGGTTCAACGTTTCAAAAACTAGGACTTATGGATAAATTTTCCATTATTATTTTAAAGTTATGAATCTCACCCATTATATAAATTATAAAATTCAAAATCTCTAAAATTATGACATATCATCCGTTAATTGGTGCGTATAAAGAGAATGGCCAAAAAGATTTTATTTTAGATGTAAGTTCATTTTTGAAGACTGAATTTGAATTATACATCAATATTCTCGATAATTTTTTTTTTTTTTTTCTGCTGATTCCTTAACTTTTCCCTTATAATTAAACATTTTTCCTTTTTAACTTCAACCCTTCCTTCCCATAAAAAAATAAAAATAAAAAAAGAAACTTTAACCGTCCTTATATATGTACTACTTACCCATCTAATTGTATGAATAAGGTCACCAAATTATCCATCTCTTTATAGTTTAGTTTTTATTTTTACGTGTAGAGGCCGCTTGGATTAATTTTTAGTATTTTAAAAAATGTGACTTATTTTTTCATATCAAATTTAATAGAACG